AATTTGGTCTTTTGGCAGAATCTAAGGGTAATTTATTTGATTCTCTTTTCAGGTATTGATTTTAAAATTAGAACTATAGAGCTAGATGGCAAAAGAATTAAACTACAGATATGGTAAGGCTTTTCTTCTAAAGTTAACGTCTGATAACCGGGTGTCTGCATGGTGTGGGGTGGCGATGTTACCGTTTTTATTCCAGTTGTGCTCTTCAGCCGTTAACGATATCTTAGAAACTAAAAGATAGTTCCGGTGCATCTAAAGGCTGGTTCAAATTTAAGTAAAAGTTTTGGTGGCTTTAACTTGAGCGCGGTGCGTAGGTGGTTTGCCTGAGCCCCCCTGTTCTCTCTGTTCCAGGGACACTGCTGGGCAGGAGCGATTTCGAACCATCACAACCGCCTACTACAGGGGAGCGATGGTAGGAGCAAATCGGGTCAGGCTAAACCTAACCCAGGTGGTTCAGCTTTCGCAGTCGAATCAGCCGAGTTTAATGCGGAACGCACGCAACTGCCTGTCTTCCGACATGTAAACTCTGCCTAGCCGAGCACTGGCAGTGGCGCTCCTGTTCCGAGCGGTGCCGGAGCTGTGCCGGGAGAACGCGGGAGCTCCCAGAGGCAGGGTTCGTCCGCGTCTCCCTCTGTAAATACGCATCCCGCGCACCTCGTCTAGCAGGGCACGGCCTGCGATGAAATGTCCCATGGAACTGCAAACCAACTGTTTTTAAAACTAGTCTGTGTTAAGTTGCTCCTTTCTGCAATAGATGAGTCTTTAACTCTTGCTTAAACTGACGCTAGCTGAAACAATCTGTCTCCTTCTTAATCTTCAGGGCATTATGTTAGTCTATGACATCACCAATGAAAAATCTTTTGAAAATATTCGGAACTGGGTCAGGAATATTGAAGAGGTAATTTCTCTGTTTACTTACTGAATATTAAAGAAGCTATTTCTTCTTCCAAAAGTAGCTGAAACTTAATTGCTTCAGAAACGTTAAGTTTCTTTTGAATTCATGTGCTGAAGGGTACTTGGAAAATCACTTGAATGCAAATCAGTAAAAACTTCTGGAGGGCGTTGGTTAAGGGGAATTCCTTGTGCTGGTAGATGAGAGCCAGCTGTGGGGACTGTAGCCCTTCTGGTGATGGTGGGGGCACATCACCGATGATGTCATTTTCCTGCCACGAGAAGTGATCTGAGAGCTGTCGTTGTGCAGGACACAGGCTGGGGTGAGGGGTTTGAGGGACTCCGTGAATCTGCGGAAGATGCTCCGTGCCTGCACCTCCCTGTGAAGTGCTTGCTGTGTCCCTCATCTTTTTGCCAATGTTTACCTACAAAAAACCCGAGCCAGAGCCTTTGGTCTGTTTCTGTCTCAGCACGCCTCTCCAGATGTTGAAAAAATGATCCTTGGGAACAAATGTGATGCAAATGACAAACGACAAGTTTCTCGAGAGCAGGGGGAGAAGGTAAGTGCCACAGCTTTAACCTATTTCAACTTAGGCTTTTCAGAGTATAAAAATAGCGTTCGTTATTGTCTGTGTGCTTTGGTGGTATTTCTAAGTGGAACTATCGAACATTCCCAAGCTGGAGTTGCAGTACGCTTCCCCACTCTGATAAAAAGCTGAGTCTGTGTTAAGATTTTTTTGTTGATTACCCGGTCAGGATGTGTTAGGTGCAAAGCAACGAGCTGGACTTTTCCTTCGAAAAAGGAAGAAAAAGCGTGCTGGAGTTTGACATTTACGAAATGTCTCTTTTTGGCTGAAAGCCAGCAAGACAAAGTAGACAGCATTGTCTCTTCTGGCGTTAGATGGTACTTAGTCAAGGTGGAGAAGGTACATCTGCGCACTGCAGGTGTTGCAAGACTGACAAGGTATCTATGCAAGGAAAAAATAAAAGACAAAGGAGCAGATTAAAACATGTGGGGAACGTAAACCAGCAGAACAAAGCCCAGTAAGAACAGATGCTCATACCAGTGAGATTTAGTTCCCAATTTTTGCAAATTGTTCTGCTTGAGTAAACCCCCAAGTTCCTGTGAATCACCGGGAGGGGCAGATCCTGTGCAGTTGGTTATATTGAGAGCTGTTCCTGCAATTATTCAACTAACACGAAATCTGCTTTTGTTCAGCTTGCTGCAAGTTTTGGAATTAAATTTATGGAGACGAGCGCAAAAGCAAATATAAACATAGAGAATGTAAGTACTGTAACCTTTCCCTTACATTTATTGTCTCATGAGCACAAATAAGTGATAAGAACACTTGCCCGACCGGGTTGGATGCAAGACTCTGTCATTAGATGCTGCACATGGGTTCTTAAGTACGTATCCGTGCTTTCCAGGAAGGCGTTGTCTAACCAACATGATGCTAATTTATTTAAATTGAACTTGCTGCTTAGAGCGTGACACAAGGGTGTTACAGCAAACTGCGTTAGAGCAGCACGCTGAAAAGCTCTGCTTCTGTTTTCGCTTTTGATAACGCATTTGATCAAGGGCAACATTTTCCCGCTGTTAAACCCGGCTGTGCGGCGCCGCAGGTGGTGTGTGCCATCGTGGCTTTTGGGCTCAGAAAAGAGGTAGTGGAATTGGGAAAGCAGCATTAAACCTGGAGGAGGGGGGAAAAAATAAATGAAAACTTGACTTTCTTCAGGAGTTCAGTATATGTAGAAACTCAGGAAGGCAGCTTATTGCTAAACAAAAATGTCAAAATATGTTTTCTTTACCATGTAACACTGAACTGTTTTACTTGTCACAGGCGTTTTTCACTCTTGCAAGAGATATCAAAGCAAAAATGGACAAGAAGTTGGTGAGTAACTTTTATTTCGTCCATACTGTATTTAAATAGGGAAAAAAGCCAACCAAAAGTCAAACAGCAAGTTCCGTTTCACAGTCTATAATAAATATTCTGTGGTCTCTTTCGTGGGGGATGCACTGCAGGTTATAGGATTTTATTTTTAGTTTTGTCAAGCTATGCTCTGACCTTGGCGTATAAACAATTGTCTCTGCATTTCAGGAATTGGCTGCAATGGTTGAGATTTTCTATATAAAATCATCTTCTATTTGTTTTATTGAAAGTCAAGTGAGTGGTAAAGCAGTTTAGTGGTATTTCTTTCTCTTGCAGTCTGAAAAACGGAATCATAAATTAGGCATACAGGAGGCCCACTTCATACTTCAGGATAGTTTTCAAGCTAGCATGTTTAAAAATAGGTAAAGAACCAACTTTTTGATAACTTTTGCAAAAGCGTCCTGAGAAATGATTGGGTTATCTTTTGTATAACAAGTAAACGTATATCGGTGTCGGTTTGTTCCTTGTGAAATGAAGCTAACAAAGATTCCTTCTACTTTTCCTGAGCATTCCACCGTCACGTGACCAGACCTGTGCTGATGGAGCAGTGCTATTTTGGGTCTTGCTGACAATTCCCAAGTGTTTCAGCAAGAGCCAAACATGTCATCTAATTTTTTTTGATTCTTTTTTTGATCTCAGCTGTCTTTGAGTTTATAGAAGGAAGAGGCACAGTGCATGTTAGTCGAAGCCAGGAGTAGCAGATGGGGTTCTCTGACTTCTTGCAGTGGCCAATGTAAGGCTCGGATAAATGAGCGAAGACTCCTGTTGCTTTCAGTAACGGGTTTCGTATGTGGCAGGCTTGATTCGACAAAAGGAATAGATGAAGTATGGATGCTAGAAGCTGTTAAGGGTAAATAAGTAACTTAATATTCCTTGCATCTTCAGGAAGGCAATAGCCCACAAGGCAGCAACCAGGGAGTCAAAATCACACCAGACCAGCAAAAGAAAAGCAGCTTTTTCCGATGTGTTCTTCTGTGAGGGACACGGCCTTAATCTGAGCGTCTGCTCAACCGAGCTGGACTGTGCCTGTTCTGAGTGAGATTTCCTCTGTCTGTGGACTTAGCATTTTCACCTTGTCACTTTGTGACCATCTGAATAAGAAATTGTTTATTTTGGTAATTGTCTGACTCTTCAATTTTGGAGATGAAACAAGTTTATTTTTGTCAGATTGCCACTGGGCACGTGTATTGTCTAGCAGAGGGGGTACAGATCAAATGTGACCTGTGATAGAGCGCCTTTGCTGACAGGCTTCGATCTTTTTGTTTGTATCTGTAATGTATCCAAATTGGAAAGATTGAGTTATGATCGAAATAAGAAACTGAAATGCCAACATTAATAAAGTACAGGTATGTGTACATGATACATGTGCATACCCATGTCTATAGAAGCCTATAGAACAATCGCATCAAAACATCAAATAAATGCACTTACATAAGCAGGACAGGCTTATACCTTTTCGGAAGGTAGAAGGAGGCTTTCTACATCTCCACTTCTTTGCTACTACAGAGAAGATCTTGTATCTGCCTGTTACTCAGTTGCGTTATTCTAGACAATCCACAAGTACAATTGAAGTGTTTTAAAAAAAAAAAAATAAATCCTCCTCAAAGGAATCTCTATTTTTTTAGAAAACCAAAGTGTGCTGTAAATATAATGGATCGTTACCATCAGGAATTACTTTATCCATGTTAGTCTTGACCGTGCTTAATTAAGTACTCCAGAGGTTTAGACACGTTTAACAGGAGATGATAGCTACACGGAGTCCCGCACAAATGATCTGTCGTCTGTTCTTAGAGAAACAGGCTGTGGTTCACGTGGGGACACTTACTCAAAATTTGTAACATTACGATGGGTGGCTTTTTCCTTCTCCAGTTGAGAATGACTCCAGATCTGTCATGATGTAGTAGCTAGTTTTAAATTGTGACAAGAAAATGTATTGCACTGCTTCCAATTGTGTGTTCTCATGCACACTTGCTCACATATGCAAATAAATGTTGCACATACGAACACTTTCTGAAAACAGACTTTTTTAAACTGAGATTTGCCTTGCTGCTGTGTATTGATCATTTCAGATTTCGAGCAGCAACCAACCTGTTAATAGTGTGCATCAATGCAAATGATGTTTAGTCCTCAGTGGAAATAGCCTATGTATTTATTCCTATAAACACAGTGTATTACATTCCGATGTATAAAATGTAACACCCAAGTAAAGCTCCTAGGTAGCTCGTTGCTCTCAGTTCAGAGGCTGTAAGCCTGACTCTTAAGAAGACTGACAAAAGGAGCCAGTAAGAGCCATCTACTTCAAAGTTTGCTGTCAAGTGATTGGAATGATGGTGTATTTAATTCAAATGAACGTATCAACTGTGTCCTGCGACTCACTGGAATTGTTAACATGCTTTGTTTACATTGACAACTGCACTTAAGGGTAAAATTAAAGCTGATTTTAAAGTTAATGAATTTACTCACCAGTTTTGTTTTCTTCCAGTTTGTGGTATTACATTCTGGCCTCAAAAAAGCAGTCGTAAGTGTTACTGTAGTTAGAGATCTATCAGATTCATAATTAAACTTTATAAATCAGCAGCATGCAATTGGGCTCAACAGGAATATTGCCTGTTTTTCTAAAGTGGAAAAAGGAAATTTTACTGTGTAAGTTACTGGTTTATAGAAATGCATTTTATATGCTACCGACCTTTTTTATTTTTTAATAGCTAGCAGATTACAATGAGCTCTGTTCATGATTAAGATCATACGTAAAGCTTTCCTTTAACCAGAACCTTAGGATGTTTTTTATTTGTTTGTTTACTTGCGGCTTTTTAGCATGAGGACTTGGTGAATGTGCACCACAGTGGATTTACACACAGATGTATTTGTAGGATAAAATCATGTTAAGCTACTGAAGAGCCTTCTAGTCAGTATGTGCTTCTAGTCAGTATATGCTTTGAAGTGTAGTTAATGCAGAGCTATAGATTGGACAAGCAATGCTTCTGTCTTGAGATAAGGATCCTTTTGAAGAAAGACTTTGTATATGCTTCCAGAAATCATTGAGGCAGAACTGGGGAGGTGATTAAGGCATGGTCTGAATGTTGTTTTCCTACGCAAAACTGACCTGTTTACTGATTTGTTTCTGGCTTAGCAGTAAATGTGGATTGTCCCGCATCCATCGTTCTACTTCACTACAGCCAGATGTTGCAGCCAGACTTATTTTTCAAAGTGACTGGAGAAATAAGTGGTTAGTCTAACTTGGTATCATGGGCTGTCCAGCGTAGTGCTAGGTATTGCCTGTTGACAGTATCTGAATCGGTAACTCATCCTGGGATGAGAAAGCAAACTCTATTAATTTACAAGTGGATAAAACTTGAAGGATGGAATTGTGTTTTTCACTCCTCATTTTCTAAATCTTAAGTTACTCTCTTGCATTCAAAGCTAACTCTTTGTATGTGAAGACCTTTTGTTTAAACTTACACTGGTTGTTGCACATGTTTATGTACCTAATTTATAGCATGATTTCCTTTTATGAAAGGATTGATTTTAGTCAATGAACAGCTACATTATTGCCAGGTCTCAGGAAGTTTCATACGGTAACTGTGACTACAGTCATCACTGTACTTCTAGGGTATACAGACTCTACGCAGAAATTAAATCAGTGTAAGCAATATGAAACTTAAAATGCAACTCTAAGACAGGAAGAAGTTAAAGGCACTGCAGTTGCATGTATGCTTGGCTATGTGTCGCTAAATATGGACATCAAATCTTGGAGAAGTACAATATGTAGTTGGTGTTTCCATCACATAATGAAATTGCTGTGTTTTTTAAATATAAATGTTACGGAAAACACAATGATCAAAAGAGGTACTGTGTAAATACATTCAGTAATGTATTTATATCTAAGCTTTCTTTAACTAAGGAGGAAAGAATCTGAAATTGGATACAAAATTTGTAAAACTGAGGAATTGAAGTAGATCCAAAAAAACTCACTGTATGCTTACTACACATTCTCAGTGTCTAAATGCCATTGAAATTTCAGGTAATCAATTAACACTTGGTTTGTAGAGAAACAAACCCATTTTTGAGCATGTTCTCAAATTCCCTTACTTAATGAGTATCATAGAATTCTGTGGTTGACCTTATTTTTGAGGCTGGTTGCAATATTTCAGATAGTCTTCACCCCTTTGGGTGTAGACCTGTCAGTAGTTTGTCTGTCAATAAATGGTGGCACTGCTGTTTTAACACTTTGCCGTTTTAACACTTAGGTTGTCTAGGTCCTATGCTGATAGGCACATCTCATGTTCCTTGGCATCAGAGCCTTACACCAGCATCAGACTTTCAGCCTCAGATTTATGAATCCTATGGATTATTCTGTAAGTCTCTTTACTGCTGCTGAAAATTATTTGGTCTCTCCTTTCACGTGAGATGCTAATCATCTCACTGACAATTGTTAGGGGTTTTATTGTTGTGGTGGCGGTGTCTTTGGCTGATGATGGTGCTCAAAAGCTACCGTGATTTCTTGGACTTGAAATGGCTGGTGTTTACGCTGGAGAGGAAATGGATGAACAGCTGCTGATGGTCTCCATTTGTACTAGAAGTTCATAGTGGTTGGGAAAGAATGATGGCTAACTTCTGTCTTCATTTATAGATTAAATAAAGATCTATTCAATTGAACATTAATGGTAACGTGCAGTCTGATTGTTTCAGGCTGCCTTATTCTTTGACCCATCTCTTTCACTGATCATTGGAGTTTTTGTTTCTGTAGTTAAGACAAGTTTAGTGGGCTGGTCTCTCTAGCCTTTCTGCAGGAATCATCTGCTCTACGTTGGGCGTGAGTTGGGACTTAGGACTTTGTGTTGAAGGGAACTTAATGCATCCCAAAATTTTTTAAAAGATCTGTAAATTGTGTTTTTAGAATGACCACTTTTGGCTACCACCCTTCCCACATTACAACTGCTTTCTTAAACACTTCTCATTGATTTTCATGTTTGTATTAAGAACCAAACTGTCATTTATTACAGTATGTATGTTTTTACTCTGTTGTACAGGACCCTGAGCACTGCATAAATAAACTTCCTATGAAAAGAGAATTTTTACAAACTTAGTTTGTCAGTCCTGTTCATCATTTGTGCATATAGATTCTTGTGTGGAAAACAGAGTATTTCTAAAAATAGTAAAGAGGGACAGGAACCTGGGCTAGGCTCTTTTGTCCTTTAAAGTATGTTGACTTTTCATTATAAATGCTGAAATAGAGAGCTCTTCTCTGTATTCTCAGAATTTGTAATGGCTTCTGTGACACACTGGGTGAATATTTGAGCAAATTGATTCACTGTTCATTAAGACTGTAGCTGATCAGAGGAGTTGCTTACACAATTTTGATTAACCGTAATGTTTTTGAAACTATTTTCAAGGTTTTTTTTACTGGTGGAGGCATTTTCTTAGGGTTGGGTGTTTTTTTTTTTAGAAGCTATAATTTGATACAAGTTCCTTTACTACCTGGTGGTATCTGAAATTTAAAAAAAAAAAAAAAACAAAAAACAAAACACTTCCCATCTCACTGTCTAGGCCAGAGTCGCTGTAGCTGGGGGAGAAACAGACATTTTGTCAAATTACAGGGAAATCTTGATGAAGAGCTTAATGAATTGTTCCTTTCAAAGAGGTAAACAAGAGACAGAGTTCTCTGACTGGTTCAGTTACCAGAAATTGTCCTCTTTGCTCCTTTCATTTTGCTCTTTCATGGATGGTAATCTCAGGTGAAGTAATAGTTGTTGAAGGTTCAAAAAGCACTTCCATCTATGTGGTTCACTAGATTCAGATTCGAATGTGAAATGTGCTATTAAAAAGAGAAAGTAATGATCACTTATGTATCACTATTCAAAGGATTCACTACAATTAATCCTAGGACTGTACTATAAATTGGAAACTTTCTTTTGCGAAGCACTTGCAAAGAATAGGTACGTTAAATAAATGCAAGATTTGAGCGCTGCTTTGTGTAAGACGTGCGTCAGAAACCACATTAAGCCTCAGTCACGCATTGAGTGAGCTAATCTCTTATCAATGGAGCCTAAGTGCTAATATTAACTTTTTAAGTTACGAGGACTTTTTGTCATGTAAAAAGTACATTGGAGGTTCAAAAAGCAAGTCAAGAAGCCTCCGCGCTTTTTCAAGCATCTGTTTTCCCAGTCTTAGCGGTGGGCAGCTCTGCTAGAAACTGTCAGGGAAGAGTGGTGATCTGTAATGGCTGAGGAGACGTAAAATACACACTTCTGACCAAAAAAAACCTAAGAGCAATTTGGTGTTAGAAATTAAAAGCAAATACTACCTGAGGAAATCTGGAGCTCGTATTATCATATGCTGAAAGTCTTCCAAAGACAATTTGCCATCGTTGTCCACATCAGCTTCGTAAATCACCTTTTCACATACAAGGCTCACTTCTTCTGGGGTAAGTTCATTTCGTGTTAATTTGTTAACAGTTTTCTCTAGATCTGATTTGCATATGTAATCATCATTGTTAAAATCTGTCAAAAGAAACAAAATCAATTCAAAATGACAAAGTCAGTATTTTACACCATTGACTGCCAAGACCCAATAGGAAGAAGAGTTTGGTTCCCAGGCCGTAATGTATTTATGTAAGTAGAACTTTAAAATCAGAAATTAAGTTATCTGTATTTGCTTGTATAAAAAGTTCAATAACAAAATAAAAATCCTGGAATAATCTCTCCTTATCATACATAAGGGTAACAATTGTAAATAGTTTAATGGCTAAACATAGCCCAGCCATAATTAAGTCATTCTAGCAAATGACTACTACTGAACTAAATGCAAGAAATGGTATGAAGTTAAAGGAAGAGAATGGGCTGTTCAGTTTTGGTGGGGGTTCACTTTTTTAACATCTTTGCTGAATCATGTACAGTTTAAATAGCAAAAGATTATTTTGTTTGATATATTGTTCGGCTTTAGCTGATCATAAAGAAAGTAACTGAAAATGGTACCGTAACAAAAAAAAAAAAAACCACAAACCGCAAAACACTTTAAATTTGTTCTTGGAGAGAAATGCTAGAAGTGTGCTTCCCTGCCTCCCACCTCCCCCTACCAAAACTACCCTAAGGATTTATGCTCAGCCAAATCCCTTGTGCTGCACTTTTCCAAGCAGCCCCTCAGACAGAAATATTTCTTAAATGTTTATCAGCTCTTGAAAACTGCAGATAATTTCAGGTTGTAAGTTTTGTAGCAAATCCTAATCCCAAATAAATAAGAGACAAAAGGATAAAAAAGGCCAGAAGTTTCTAGGAGAGAGAACAGTCAAAGGCAATGAAAAGAAAGGCTGTATGTAAAACATACCTAACTAGAAATCATTATGGTGACAAAATCAGTATTTTGCATCCCTACATGAAGCTACAGGATTTGCCCAAAGTATTTTTTATGTATGACTGTCTCACCATAAATTTTAAAAGCATAATAAGCTTTCAAGTCTCTGGGAGCCATTTCACTTAGCACTGAAAACATGTCCAAAAAATCATCTAAAGTCATATTGCCATCTCCATCCTCTGAGAAAACCTCTGCTATCCGCTGGCGGAATGGATTGTCCTGGGAAACAGAACACAGAAGCAAGAGAAGGTCATCTTTACTAGCATTTACTTCAGTGCAGATAAGAGAATTGGAGCAAAGTTATTTTTGTTGTAACCCCTTTTTGGGAAATGCAACCCTTTCTGCTAATGTTTCTTGTCTAATGTTGTATCAGAGGCAGACACAGCTGCAGCCTTCTTTAACCTTTGTGCAATTTCAGAGTGTTTTCAGGGAATTGCTAGAACCTTCCAGAAAGACTTTTGACTTCAATAGCCAAAATGTATTTGTATTTCAACCTCCCAGCAATTAGTACTAGATGAATTATTGAAAAAGGGTAGATGAAACTGAAATGTGTCACTCGATTCTAGTTGTGTCCCTTGCTCTGTACCTTCAGCTCTGGCATGCTGCCAATGAGTTCATAGGGAAGTGTCACATCTGGTTTATCTGTGTAGTCGAGTGGAACTAGCTGTGGGGCTAGATCTCGGTATCTGTAAAACAGTCTGAAATAGAAAGACAAGACTTGTTTAGGGAACAAGTTATTTAGCCCTCTAAGAACAATGTGTTTGCCTTTTCCATATCATTCTTTCCACTTTGCATCCTTTACCAGATGGATGATACCAGTCACTAAATAACAGTCGGTATGCTCTGTAGTTGGTGGTGGAAGAGCCAGTATTAAAAAGAACAACATGGTGTAACTGGTGAAAAATACAAAGCCTTCATGCTTACAGAACAATTAAGTGAAAATGCTTACACAGGTCAGGCAGCCAAATCACTAGATACCTTGTATCTGAAAACAGATTTTTACAAAGTTTCAGATTTACTTCTGCGTTGCCAACAGTGTTATTCCGGCATGTAGGGTAGTCACGATGTACGTGTTTATGATACCAAGGCACAAGACCTTCAACCTAAAGGTCCACCCTAATCAGTTTCCAAACACACAAAAACTCGTGGCAAGACAAAAGGGAACTGTTTTCCAAGTCCACAATGAATGTGAAATAACAGGCTTAAACGGGAGCATGAACGATGTCAGGATAAAACCCGGAATGCCTAAAGCCATGGGCAGGAAGAGAGACCTGGGACCAACTCTAGCAGTTTTTTTCCCATCCCGAGTATCTTCTTGGTTTTCCATAGAACTCAGGTTCAAGAGACAGAAAACGTGCATAGTAATTTGAATGTATTCACTTTTTCAGCATGCTATTTGCTTCAGTTCCCATGCTAGAGTAAGGATCCCGTTCACAGCTATTATCAAAAAAACAATAGGACATAATTTTAAAAGGGAACCTTATCAATAATAAATGTCTTATTCATGATACAGTTATGGTTCTGCTTCTATTTACACCGATTTAGATTTCAATTATTACAGAACCGTTCATATTTTATCCTGCATAGAAATCATACATAGATATCAAGGGTCTAAAGCCAGACATGCTCTGTACAAAATTGTCACTTGTGCTCTGCCCTTCAGAGGAATTACCAAAAAGCGTGTGATGACATCTTGAGAGATGCAGAAACTGAACACTTCCCTTTCTGTTAGGATGCCCAATGGTTAGGAATGGCGAATGCAACTTCAATATTATGTTACTATCCGGGTAAGTATTTTTTATGAGAGGAGAACAAGTTCAGGTTTTCAGTAAAGACTCTCAGTCCCACATGAACAGAATACTGCACCTGTCTTTATCAGATCCTTTGGCCAGAGATTAAATGGAGTGTTTGATGAAGTGCGTGAAGGCTTTGGGGAAAATGCACCTTAGACCGTCAGTATAATTATTTGCAAGAAGACGTGAAGACAATGTGAAGAAAATTTGAAACAATTGTTAGGGTTTTCATAAACCAGGCAAACTATTCCAAAGAATAACAGAAGACTTTGAAGTATCTGTCATAAAACAAGGTGAGAGGAATGTGGATGTCACTGGCAAAGTATGCACTAAAATATAACCTGTCACATTTATTTCTCATAAATAGAGACTGGTACCTTAGTGTAAAATTTAGAATTCTGGCTCTGTTTAGGATAGATAACATAGGGTTTGTACATAAAAAAGCAACAAAAATTCTCAGTTTGCCCAAAGGTATCACTTTAAATTCATGTAAATCCAGTTTAAAACTATTTTTTAAATACCTCACACTATGTGTAACCTGTCTTTATAGAGATATCTGCCCTTTACCCACAAAATGCATATACAAGACTCACCTCAGAATTTCTTTCCTTGTAAAGAATGTGCAGTCCTATGAAATAAGAAAAGATATAACATGTAATGACAGTTTTTAGCATGCATCGACTCAAACTTTTCCCGTACAGCAACTTAAATGAAGTTGTATTGTAATATATGTGGCCAAGCACTAAAGCTCTTTCTTTTTGGCATGTAATTAGGAGTATTTTATAACCCTTGTTCTTGATGTAAGAATCAAACTATGTTACTAAAATCTTTGTTGTAATTTAGTACTCCTACTTAATAATTTTTGAAAGACATTGTTTTAAAAAAACCTTCACCATTATTCAATGTTCTGTCCAAACAGCCATTTAGTTTGTTTTATACCTGATAAGCATCCAGTTGCTCTGGAGTGAAAATGGTTTGCTTGTTGCCCATTTCTAGCTTTGAATGCTGATTCTTGTCCCATCATTCTTTCCTCAGAGGCACCTTTATAGGAGGTCTGGATATTCAGTTATTAAAAGCTGTAACAATGAGGTTCAGGTATAGCAGAGGATCAAATAACCAGCTTCCCTATTCCCCAGGCTGCAAAGTATCATAATAGCAGCATTTCATCAAATCTTTAGTCTGGCTACTTAAGGCTCTTATCCAGCATCACTCACCTGTCTCCTGTGTGCACAACAAAGACTCATGTTACAGTATTTAGCCAAACAACTAATAGCTGCTTGTTTGTGTCTTTGAAACAGCAGGTAGACTTCATGGATTGTGCTTTTTCATTCCTTCAGATATGGTAAATTAACTGAAAAGTGTTAGTAGCGTCTTGTTTAAGGATTAACACCAAATGCTGGAAATTAATAACAGTGATGGTAACCCCTTGTCCTTTCCTTCTCACTTTTC